TCACCTTCAAGAATTTTGTTTGCCAACCAGCAGAAAGCTGGCGTGGACCATGAGACAGTGAGATAGCAACTGCTGATTTTAGTGGTGCGTGGGTGGCTGTGTCCCAGATAGTGTTCTGAAATGGCAGTTTTAGGAGGTTAGCTGCCAGAAGCTGTTTCCCTGGAAAAAATGTTTAGAGATGAGGAAAATGCCTAGAAAATACAGGACTGGCAATAACACTGACTCCACATTTCACGTCAGTGCTATTCCTCGCAGGGCCTTTCACCCTTTTTAGCTATGGCATATTCTTGGAATGGTTGGTTGGGATTTTTTAAGGACACAAAGCATCATCACTGCATTATCCAGCCCCATCTCCTTCAGTGCTCACTGGCTCTCTCTCTGGCCGCCTACACTGTAAGTCCACATGAAACCATGAACTTCTGTGGATTAAATTCTGAAAGCAATGAAACAGCCATAATGCTCTTTATATTGTTGAAATGGTAAAAAAAATGAAACCAAATTTTTAGAGGGTATTTTCTCAAGTAGAAAGCTTTAAACATATAACCACACAAGCAAACTCCCTGCCTAGATGGCACACATGGCTAACATAAGGAGTCTGGCTCATGAGGGAACTGAAATGAGAAACAGTTAGAAGCAGACAGATAAAGGCAAGGAAAATGATATGTGAACACTTTTCCACTCCCATTTACTGAGCCAAAAGGGTAGAAAGCATTTGAATTGCTTCATTTATACAGAAAAGGAAGGAAAAAATATTATAATTACAAGCAAAGGCCTTGTGAGTGAGTGGCCATGGGATGGAAAAACCGGAAAAGTACTCACCTGGGGCTGGTAGGAAGCTGTCATCTAGGCTGTCCTCCAAGAAAGCGCCTGTTGGGTCTGAGCTATACCTCTGGACAAAGCTGTCTTCCCGCACAGGGTGCCCCTGCTAGAATGAAAGTAGACAAAAACAATATTAAAGGGACTGATTTGTAGAAGCTGATCCATATAGCCACATAGGAGGAGTTGCTCTTTTATTAAAGGCCATTCTACTTACCCCGTTCCTGTCAATGCAGGTTGTAGCAGAGTTGTTGCTGGTAGCACTCTTAAAAGAGAGAGAAAGAAAATACAGACATTATGAGAAGCAGTTCACTCTTAAAATTTCATGTCATGTTTCCACAATGGAAAATTTTCATACCAATGAACTCAACAGAGGAGTGCGAGACGTTGAAGGGCTGTTGAAAAAGCCCTGGTGTGGCACGAGGTACTCATCTGCATCCACTATATCCTCCATGTCCTCCTCCTCCATCAGGGTGCGATAAAACTTGGAGTCTGTAGGGCTGGGCAGGTGCATCCTATCATCTCCCTGTTGAAAATGTCAGGAGAAGACAAGACTTGTAGACTTCTTTCAAGCCATCATTCTCCCCTTTTCTCTGAGACAAAGTAATTTAACAAGAGGCACAAGATGCAAAATCTTGATTCACAGATTCACAGAATATTCTGA